GTTGTGGTTAATGAACGCCCAAACAGCTTCCGGCACATTGAGTGTATTCTTCAGTAACAGCATTGTTTGTTACTTTCAACAAGTAAATATTTCAAAGCGGAATTAAATTCAGTGCAGGCTTGTAGTCATGAGAAGAAGAAAAAGATAGTAGTTGTTTTTATTTGTTATTTTTAAAATTGCACTTAAAAAAATACAAGAAATTCTCTAATTTGTTGAGTAAAAAGACATAAAACACGATGTAGGCACTTGACATCCAGCTGAGTCAATGCAAATGACCCATTGTTTATTTGTGTCTTTTTTGGACCTATATTACATTGCAATATGCATTATTTGGAAGATGGTTTTCATGTCAGTGGCTGTGGCCAAACTGTTGGTTTTAAATATGATAAAGTGCCGGGAGAACCGATTATTATGAAGCATGTTAAAATATGTAATTCAACATCATGTATTTCATTAAGGACAATTAGGTCTTCATTGGAGGCTGGCAATAGGACCTTCTGAAAAATGCACTGACTACAGTACTAATCACTCATCAGTGTAAGAAAGTTTTAAAAGAATGCACAAAGAGCTGGAGTGGAATATGGGACGAGTGTTTTTAAGCTCATAATTTTTCTTGTGAGCTAAGCTCAAATGACATGATGTCAGTACTCCGCTGAAAGGCTGAAATGCTGTCACCAGCTCAGTTACACCCAAAGTGTGTCGATCACTCTCGGGTTTCCTTCAAGATCAGGTTCAAAATAACTGCAGCAGCAGGTGGACTGCAATGATGCTCAGGTTACTAGGAGCTTGAATAATTGATGTGAGGACAGGGAGGGGGCTGTCACCCATAAAGCAGGAGTCAAACAGACGAGGCTGAATGGGAAGGCGAACTGGATGAAACAGGACACATGTTGTTCCACTGAGCTTAACATTGAGATGTTATAATTACCAAATTAAGGTATCAGTGAGAGCCTCTATCTTTCTCTGCCGTGTTGTGCACATGGAGCAGCTGGAAGTCCACCAAACCAAACAAAAAACAAGCAAAGCTTATAAGCTCCTGACACACCATTTCCTGTTGAACCACTCCTGAATGCACCGCTGTTTCCTGACATGGAAGCATCTGCATTTGTGGTCCAACATGTGACCGCAGCACCAACAGCGTACTGTGTGGGTGGAAGCACATTGTTCTACGTTTGAAGCATCACAATCTTTTTTTTTTTTTTCCAGTTCCAAGCTGTCCTTGCCTGAGCCCGGACGCTCCTCCGTGACATGCCCAGGTTTGCCCACTGACATACCGGGAGACAAAGCCCTCTCTGGAACACCGCAGATCCTCCTGCAGTGTTGCTATGGACCTGGATTAGAAACTTTGAATCAAAGCTCCCAAGCAGGTTCCAATCATGGTGTTTCTAAAGCAGCGGATTATGATAATGATTAATGTGGTAGCTGTAAAGCATCAGCCTACACGCTTGTTAAAAAAAATAAACAGGTAACAAGTGATTATGCAATAACTAACAGCTAAAGTTAAACAGTTTTAAAGACTCCTGACGCATTAGGGGTTTGTTTACTCAAATAACTGTTATTTAATCAAATTCTCATTTTATTCTCCATCTAATCATTCTCATTTTCATCGTTAGCTATATTTAATTGGATTTAATGCTTTCTGTTATATAATGTGATTGATTACATTGTTTACATTGATGTAAAAATTTGTCAAAATTGTATGATTTCAGTTTTGAAAGTCATTTACAGCTTAAAACTTTTTACAGAGTGTGAAACTGTAGATCCAAAAAAGGAGTTTGCCGTGTCACCTTTATGCAGTGTTTAAGCTATTTGATCTGTCGTATACACTTCTGACACTCAAGCAAAGACATGCAACAGTTTTAGCAAACGCTGAAGCAGACCGCTGTTAAATGCTTTGGAAAGACTGAAAAAGTGATGCTTTTTTTGCAGCCATTCTTTTCTACTACACATCATCAATGAAAGGCAAATATATCCAAAAGCTGCAGTCACATGTTCCTTATTGTGTGTGATTAGCTGCTGCACATGGTTTCTTTCAAAGTTCCCGAGCATTTCTGTGACAGTGTTGGCTGCTGCAAACATTTGCCTGAGATGAATGAATCAGAGATAAGTGATAAAAGAAGACTGAATGGCTTAAGGAAAACAAAGGAAGGGAAGAAGCTATAAACCAAAAAAACAAAAACACAGTTGCTCAGCTCTGGATGGTTATTTACCTGCCACTTCTTCTTACGCCCTTCTTGCTTCTCCGAACTCCAGCCTGATTTTCACTGTCGGCGGGATTAGCGGTATGACTTTGAAGACAAGGCTTCCTTATTGACAGGGTGTCTGCAGTGTGCGGCTGTCATAAGTAATAAGTGTAAATTTGAAAGCGATCGTGTGAGGTCTGGCACGCATGTGTAAAACATACTGGCTTTACTACGAGCTGATATGGGCTGGTATGCCTCAGACTGTGGGGCATTAAGAGGATTAAAGTATATTTTAAAAAAAACACGTAGAAGTGCTTTGATTTTTGGATCACCTGCAATGCTGTACTGTAACCACCAAAGAGAGCTGTGCTGCATGGAATTCAGCAAACAAACAAAAATTATATATGTTTGCATTAATCCTCACATGTGACAAGGACTACACAGACGCTACCTTTCGAGAAGTCTAAAACATCCTCCTTGCTGCAGGCCCATTCTGCTTCAGGAGTGATCCGAGGTTTCAAAGTCTATGTTCAAGCAGTATTTTACTTTCTGTGACTCTGCAGGACTGATTTGACTCTTTGGTTTTGGTGACAGCTACCAGTCACAGCTAACTGTGCTTCATCACTGCTTGCGTCTCAGGTTGCATTTGACAGCATCCCCTTATTTAACAGACAAGGTATACCACTGTGTGTGTGTGCAAACCATAGATGTAACTCGGCACAGTGATGCCAGAGTGTTTCCTTGGTGTTTGCTGTTGGTAGAAGGGTTCATGTGCAAGTGCTGAGAGCAGAAATGAGGAACAAGAGACACGCTGCAAAAACAGGGGAACCCAGCTGTGACTTGCTCAAAGACCATTGAAAATAAACAAAATATGTGCTACCCTCTTTGCCAACCAGGCTTAATGAAACAGTGAGGTGAAAAGAAGTGGAATTAGATGCCGAGGTAAGAACAGAAACTGTGAAAAGAGGCGAGAGAAAGGAAAACAAACTAGTAGTTTAGCTGCCTTTGGCTGCTGATGTTAAAGGATTTGCAGATTGTGAGAGGCGGAATTCACTAGCTGTATCAGAAAAGGGCTCTTGGTATTCAAATGCAAGAATGAATTCACCTTCATATGCAAATGAAACCTGGACATATTCAAGCTACAAAATGGAACGGTTCGTGCAAACAACACACACAAAGTCTTTAGGAGTCAGTGTTGCGCATGAACACATTTTAAAAAGAGTATTTCTGTGAACGCTGAACTAAAAAACAGCATGAGCATGAACAGGTACTGTGAGGTGCCTGTACAGCATTTGGTGCAACATAAAAAACAATGCAGCTTCTTGGTTTCACTACTACTAGTCCGATAATAGCAGCAACCAGTGATTCTACTAAAGCCAATCCAACCCTGTTCTTATTTAATTTAGGCATGTGGCCAGTATTAGGAAATATCTGCAAGTAACTGATCAGAAGAACTGAGTGTTACTTTTCATCTGTGATCACTTTAATAAGTACACATGCTCATTGCAAGTGTAGGCATGTAGACAATTCAAGATGACCAGTCAAACGGAGCTTCAGCATGAGGGAAGAAAGGAGATTTAAGGGACTTTGCCTTTGCCATGGTTATTGGTGCCAGAAACTGCATAGAAACTGTTGGTGTCCTGGGATTTTCCTCCACAGAGAATGGTCCAAATGGTCCAAAAAAAGAGAAATACCCAGTAAGCAGCAGTTCTCTGGGGAAAAATACCTTGTTTATGACAGAGCTCGACTGCTTCAAGCTCTTTGGAAGCCAACAGACTTATTGCAACTAATGCAATGAGTGGTTGAATATCAAACATTAAAGCAGATGGAGTACGGCCGCAGACCACAACAGGTTGGCTAAGATCAGCAAACAGAGGCTACAACTTGCACAGGCTTACTAAAACTTGACAATACAAGATTAGAAAAATATTATATTTAATGAGTCTTGATTTCGTTTGCAATATTCTCATGCTTGTTCAGAACTTGGTGTAAATAACATGAAAGCATTGATCCATCCCAAATTTATTTCTTTATGATCGCAGTGTACTTATCTTCTGATGGCCACTCCCAGCAGGATAGAGCACCATATCACAAAGCTCAAATCAGATTGTTTTGGAGGAAATTTCAGTCAATAAATCTGCAGAAACAGTTTCCAGTGCCTTGTTGAGAATAGGCCACGAAGAATGAGGCAGTTCTGAAAACAAAAGGTAATCCAATATTGATAAGGTGTACCTAATAAAGTAAGGATATATTGTTTTTGTTTTTTTTAAACCAGCATTAAAAAGTACTCTGATTCTATTAGGGTTAAAACAGCAATCAGTGTAGTTGTAATCACAGGCTGTGTGGATCTGAGGAGATTCTGCTGCTCAGACCAACACATACAAAAAAAATATATGTAAAAGGAATGCAATTCAGTCCTTTTCAGGACTAAAACTGTGAACATGTAACTTTTTAAATTGACGTTAGTTATAGTTGCAGCTAATAGTTGTGCGAATCATTTGCACACACGCATATTACAGATACCAGATATTTAAAAAGCAGCCTCTGTATTTAAATCGTATAACAACATAAATGCAACTTAAAGCAACTGAAGAATTCCTCCCAGTTGTTGCTCCCATTGGCTTTAATTCAATCAGAAAAGATCACAATACAAACACAATTTAAAGATATAACAATCAGTCTTTATTAATGTCATTATTTACTGTACATCTACTTACAATATCTGAGGTTAAAGCATTGTCCATTCCAAAGCTTGTTACAAATGTAGCACTTTAACATTTTTTTAAAAATGGATTTATACATTTATATAAATCCATTTTGTTTTAAAGGGCTATTTTGTATATTTGCTGTTAAACAGATGAGTATGGAAATCAGATAAGTGACTTTTATAAAGCTAAATTATTCACATTTCAGGGTGCATATATCAGTTTCTTCATACTAGCTTTGCTGTTAGAAGTCTTGATTAGTAAGGCACTTAGGAATTGTAACTACTGTAACTTCTGTAACATAGAAGAACGTTCTTCTGTTTTCTTAACATTAAGGTCTAATGTGAAGCCAAATTGGATTTCTTCTCCTGACTAATGGACACAAACTGTCTGGGACATTATAAAATGACCCAGCTTTCCACACAAGCAGAAAGTTGCAGCAGATATGTAACCATACATATATCACTGACTGTGGGTTTTATTCAGATACATCTTCATATGTTTATGCCCACAGAAAACTAACAGCCCTGAACATAAACACAAAGGCTGGTACTGGGTTGCGCTCAATAGCTATTGTTTTTGTGCGAACACAGTGAATGGTTTTCCCTGGCCCAACCCACATCCACTTCCTGTGAGTCAGCCTGGATAAGCATTCTTCCACATAACCACTATGAGTTAATTTAAAACTACTAAGCCATCGCAGCCTTCCCCCCCCAAAGGTGGCATGCAGTTGAGACAAAAGCACTGATAAAAGATCGCCACCTTGCTATTCGGAAGGCAGTATGCAGGATTAAGTGGGATCTAGCAACATGACAACCAAGTCAACACCTCTGAGGAACCTGGAGCGGCTGCTAATGAAAGGTCCTCTGTAGAGACAATGTTTGGCTCATCTCTTCTGGGCTAAAGTAGAAACACTGGAGCTTGGTGGATGAGGACCCGCTCCTGTGTTGAAAGCCAAAACCAGGTTTTGTTCATCTGGTTTGTGTTTAGCCAAAATGCTGCACAGCCATTACAACCCATAATCAGACACTCAACTGTTTCACAACTGCTAACAAAGCGCAAAGTGCAGGACTCCATGTGAACCATTGTCTATGACACACCCCAGTCTTTCAAAAGCAACGACATATTCTATTGGCATAGTTAACAGTTACTTTCCATCTGTGAGGACTCGGTCCTCAGTCATCTCCTTCACAGATACCCAGGTTGTCAGTGATGATTTATTTGAAATGACACACAATGGTTTAAACTTGACCACAGTTTAGTTCTCCCTTGTCATTGAGTATGCTGACTAGACAGCCACATATCTAACTTATGGTTCACAAATCTTTGCTTTTCATATTTGGGTGATCTAAACATGTGGTTTGAAATAGCTGGAAAATTGACAGGTGTGCACTTTTCCTCAGTTATGTGGCATATCTAGCTTTGGCCAGCAATGTTTAATTTTCTTTTGGTCCTCCAGGGTTGATCACATGACTGAAAGTGAACCCTCCCCATCAAAATCCTACATACTGGTCCTTTAGTATTTTGGGGGACTGGCCACAGCAAAGTGCGTATAAGCCCATCTCAAACCACAAAAAATATTTATAGTACCGCAGTTTGAAACAATGTTCAAAGTTCCTGCTCACATACTATAAAAAACACTGACTTTTTCTTGGTTGGCACATCAGGCTTGATGGTCAAATAAAGTCAGATGAAGGCTGACAAAGAGCTCATACTCAAAGTGAAAATGCAGACTAATACACTGTAGCATCTGCACAGAATGAAATGTTGTAATTACAACTAAACATGTTGCCCTGAAAACAAAAAAGAATCCTTTCACTCCTTCAGTCAAACAAGAGTTTTACTGCCCTCCTGTGCTCAACCATGAGGCAAGCAGGTGTGGAAGGACCTTCCTTCATGTGCTCTAGATAGACTGATGTATGGTGAGACAACACGCTTCATGAAACAAAAGAAAGAAAAAAAAAGATTAAAAAAAGAAGAAAAAAAACCCCAACCGAAAACATTCACAGAATAGATTTCACATTAGGTCAAAGAAAAGGTAAGTTGTCTCACTTTTTTTTTTGTGCGTTTCAGTGGCTGAAGCGGTATGAGCACTAATATGTCCAATAAAGTCTTAATCAGGGTCCTTGTTAGTGTTATAAAAACAATGGCAAACTGTCAAGGATTTGTCTGGACAGAGGATCAGATGTTCCTCTTGGTCGTACTATCCCAGAAGCACTCTCTGAAGGCGGTCAGCAGGCACACTGTTCTCTTCCTCAGACTCGGCGTCGCTCTGCGGGTTGGAGCTACAGGGAGAGGTGCACTCAGGGGAGCACAGGTAGTGCATGAGGGGTAGCCGGTACTTTCCACAGAAGTCTACAAATTTGATCTGGCGCACGCACGAATCAAAGTACACACCTGGAACAAGAAGAGTGACAGGAAATGCAGTCAGGCTTAAGTAACAGTAACTCTCACACTCACTCACTCACACTCACTCACACACACACACACACACTCACTCACACACTCACTCACACTCACTCACTCACTCACACTCACTCACTCACTCACACTCACTCACTCACACTCTCTCTCTCTTCTGGTGGGTGATGGGCTCCGCCAGGGCTGCCCTTTGTCATAGATTCTGTTCAGAATTTCTAGGCGTAGCCAAGTGGTGGAAGGCTTTCACTTCGGTGGTCTCAGGATCTCATCTCTGCTTTTTGCAGATGATGTGGTCCTGTCGGCTTCATCAGGCGATGGCCTCCAGCTCGCCTTGGAACGGTTCGCAGCCGAGTGTGAAGCAGTGGGAATGAGAATCAGCACCTCCAAATCTGAGGCCATAGTCCTCAGACGGAAAAGGGTGGAGTGCCCACTCCGGGTCAGGGACAAGTTCCTGCCCCAAGTGGAGGAGTTCAAGCATCTCGGGATCTTGTTCACGAGTGATGGGAGAAGGGAGCAAAAGATCGACAGACAGATTTGGTGATGCGGAGAGAAGAGAGAGCTGAGTGTAAAAGCGAAGCTCTCAATTTACCGGTCGATCTACGTCCCTACCCTCACCCTATGGTCACGAGCTGTGGGTAGTGACCAAAAGAACGAGATCGCAAATACAAGCGGCGGAAATGGGTTTCCTCCGAAGGGTGGCTGGCCTCTCCCTTAGAGATAGGGTGAGAAGTTCGGCCATTCGGAAAGGGCTCAGAGTAGAGCCGCTGCTCCTCCACATCGAAAGGAGCCAGTTGAAGTGGTTCGGGCATCTGACAAGGATGCCCCCTGGGCGCGGTTTTACGGGCATGTCCCACTGGGAGGAGGCCCCGGGGCAGACCCAGGGCACGCTGGAGAGATTCTCTCTCTCAGCTGGCCTGGGAACGCCTTGGTGTTCCCCCGGATAAGCTGGAGGAGGTGGCTGGGGAGAGGGAGGTCTGGGATTCTCTGCTTGGGCTGCTGCCCCCGTGACCCAGCCCCAGATAAGCAGAAGAAAATGGATGGATAATATACAATATGAGGAACAACAGTTGTAGTGAGCACCTCACAAGTGTGGTGAGCATGGTGACATAACTGTGGTTCCCAACCTGGGATATGGAATTTCCATAGGAAGGTCACAAGATAAAATTAAAGGAGCTATGACGCTTATCCTTATCCTGTCATATATACTGATACAATGGATAGATGCTCATAAAATAAGTTTCAAATAAGGAGGCCACCATATGTACAATTAATCCATGTGAGATTTCTTTTGCTACATTTAAATCTGTATATCAAAGAGAGGATATCCTCAATCTGATTATCTGAGGCACACAGCTCCGGCTTGGAGCACAGCAGCCTCACCCACCTATTGTTCACTGAAACTGGTGACATGGCATGTAATCATTAGGCACAACTCACCGGCACACTTGGGGTTGGGACACTTGCTGGCCAAGTCCAGATAACGCACCAGGTTTGCAGGCAGGTCAAAAGGGGAGTACAGAAGATTTCGACTCTTAACGGTGCGCCCTGCCAGCTCTAGCAATGAGGGTGGATCGTAGGTCATCTCCTTGACAAAGCGCACAACCAGCGGGTTGCCTCTAAGACTGAGCTCCTGCAGGTGCACCAGGCTCAGGATCTCTCTCGGCAGGTAAGTGAGCAAGTTGTTGTGTAGGCTTAAAGATCGCAGAGAGTGGAGCCTAGAATCGGATGCATAAGCACTCTGTCAGTTTTGTTTGCACTTTGATAAAAATCATGACTACTTGAAAGTTCAGCTACCAGATCAATGCAGGATAAATTACAGTTCTAACTCAGATAGCATCTTTGAGGAGACCATATAGTCAAGCTGTAGGTAGACTGGTGTGTGGCGATTGCTAGGATAGTTGGAGAGTGCTGATATTACCTGGTGAGCTGCGGTGGGACACTTTGGATGCGGTTGTCACACAGGACCAAGTAGGTGAGGTAGGGCAGATTCGCTACTTCAGGAGGAATGGCTGAAATAAGGTTTCCGCCCAGGTACAACATCTCCAAACTGACAGATGACAAAAGAAAACAGGTATTGATTTGCAATCTCAAGATTTTTTTCCTCCGTGCATCACACAGAGCACCATCTTTCATATGGTGCTCTGTTGTAGAGCATCCATTTCTCTCCTTTGTGATTTTTACCATGACAAATTTAAATAAATAAGTCTAAATGCAATAAAATTACACTTTCCATCACAATTGCTGCTGTGCAGGTATTTTTTTTCTTCCCCCAATTAAACTCCTATTGTCTATAGGAACAATAGACAATAGGAGTTTATAGCCATAGCTTCAGACTCCTGTCAACCCTGCTGATGGCTGAGGGCCACAGATACCACAAAGAGCACTGTATTAGCCACCAATGATGATTTCATCTCATTAAATAAACAAATAAAGTGTTACATTAAAGTATGCCACAAGGGGGCGCTGAAGCTCCACCTTTTCATGGTCAGAATTCAGGTTTGTCACCAAATATGAAACTTTGCTTACAAAATATGTTGATTTAAATAAAAAACAAAACAAGGACATGAAATAAATTCTGAGATGATGACATTTACATTGAGGAAAACAGACATACATGCTTGTTGCTAGGCAAAAAAATTAAATAAAAAAAACAACAACAAAAAAAACAAACAAAACAAAACAAAAACAAACACCATGCTGAGTTATTATAGGTATCAAGAACACGAGTGGGTGGGGGTGAGGGGATGGCATCAAAGAGAGACATGAGAGAGCTATGGGTGGCTGGTCAGCAAAAGTAAGCTGTCAGGCCATCTGCCTGCAGGAACTGATGACACAGCGACTGCGAGACATGAAGCCATTATCCTGTCCTTGGTGGCTGAGCCTCTCTTTGAAAAGAACGGAGACATTCAGGGTCTGCTCACTGCCCACACCAACACCGTGAAACAAAACTACTGACAATTTCAAAGACACATATCATGAACTGACTCATGGTACATCATCATCCATGCATAGTTTTGTTATAGCCCGCTGCTATATTTTATAAACTGTCATTTGATCACAGCAGTGTTAGTGATAACTTGCACAATGACCAGCCATCCTACAAGATCGCTTGCTGAGACTAATGTTTGGGTCATGGGAAGGATAAACCTAAAGAAACTTGTTAGTATAGCACCTCTCCCCGTCTTACAGGTATCTAGCTGATATGCAAGGTTTATCAGCTAATCAAGTTCAGCGCGTCCTTAAAGGTTATAAAGCTGGTTCATGTGGTTACATGTACTTTGTCTTCTTCTGCTTGCACCCCTGAAACACCACAGCACGACACATTCATTCACTGCTAGCCTAGATAATTCACCAGTTATTTTTTTGTATTAGTTTATTGGCAATATGACTAAATGTCCATTTTGTAGACTCTACAATTAATCCCCCCAAAGTCTGTCACAAATCTTATGGAGTTGTATCAGGTCAATTGTCTTTGTAGGTTCTCACTCATCCACATCGCAGTAATCTAAGGAGCTTGGAATGAAAAGTGACTCAAGTCCCCCCCTTTAGATTAACCATTTTTGGGAAATATAGTCAAAGAATACTAGCTTGACTTTTTTCCCCTTTATATAGTCTATAATATATATCAGAGATATTATATAAAGCCTGACTGATTTATTGGTTAGCCAATATTAACCATTAGTATTGCCTTAAAAATCCCATATCAGGCAGGCTCTAATCTTGTACACACATTTTAATGGAAGTCACTTCTTGCATTTCAATTCAAAAACAATGTCCAGAGGATCAAACAGTCTTAATTCACAGTAGATGCTTTGACTTTAAAAGACAGAAATGCAGCATAAGTTTAGATTAAAAAAAAAAAAAACACAAAAAAAAACAAAAACCATATTAATGTAGTTGAAACCTTTATTAGGATAACAGATTTGGCTGCAGTGACAGTTTTCGCATACAAGCACCATCCAGTGTGCTTCAGGATTTTTTCAGATGCATTCCATCTTTCTCATCCCTGACCAATCAGTGTTGTCTCTGTGATCCAGGACCTCCTGGTTCATATACTGGGCACTGGATTTTCCTTTCATGTTCAATAAAACACAGTGCGAACCAGCTCTGTGTGAATGAGGCTCACAAACTCACAGGGTCAGCGAGGACGGACTACAGGCAACTAGGTCAACAAGGACAAACTGAAAATTACTCAGGCAGAAAAATGTGTAGAGTTACAAGTCATTTTGCAGCATGAGGGATTATTTTTGAAGAACAAGAAAAACTTAACATACAGTGATAGTGAACACAGATGAGTTTGTATGACGTAATCAATTAGATCAGGAGACGGCCTTTAAACCTGTGCTGTAACAATCACTGAGCTTTTTGGAAACAAAGATCACCAGTGTGTAATCAAAGTGTGCTTATCAATGATTATGATAGCAAGTGGACAGTAACTTTCCTACATTGCAAAGAGACTTAATGAACCCTTATCAGGTGCTATAGGACACATAACCAAAAGGAATCTCTTTGCGTGCACAACTGTTGCCAGGGTGCTTCAGCTGATGCAGCATTAAAGCTGAGACAAGAACGTAAATGTCCACACACACACACACACACACTTTATTAGTCCTGATAATAAAGAAAAAAAGTATATACTGTCTTTTTGCAGCAATTAGGTGGCTCGTCTATAAAATATCCCTTTTATGATATGTTCACATCAAATGTGAAGCCAAGTTTCCCCTTTGTGCAAACAAAGTCAACTGTTTGGGTTTTTTCAAAGTCCTCAAATATTCACTTATATTTGTTCAATATTCTCCAAGACCCCCCCCCTTTTTTTTTTCTACATAAAAGAGAAGTTGAATCATAGGTCTCAGGCTGCCCAGAAACAGTTTAAGTATGTTTGTCCACCATTTCTGGTTGTCATCTGAAGATGAAATATTTTGAACTCTCATTTGGTCTGAACACATCTTCAGACATCTACTACTTTCCATTTAACTGGCATCACCTGAAAAGGGCTTTGTAACATTGTAACGATCCTACTTCCACATCATCGAAGTAATGAGTTTCGAAAGACAGCCGTGCAACAAACTGAGGGAAGCTTAGCAGTGTGGAGTTTCTTTTATTGTGTCATTAAGTTATTTTAAGTGAGTATGCAAGAATATTAACAATTAAGCCCACCATATCCATTCTGCTCAATAAGCACCTCCAGGAACAGCCACAGTCAGAGCCCAGACTTCGATCCATGTGAGAATGTGTAGTTGAATTTGGAAAATGCAATTCAATGTTGAGCAGTTTTCAAGGAAAAATGGTGAATACAATACTGTACTGTCCACATATAAAAGGCTTACTGTAAAAAAAAAAAAAAAAGTCTAAATACTTCCTGCCAGTATGTGTCTTATAATTAAATTTAAATAATTAAATCTGTTGCCTCTGAGCTGCAGTATTTTGTACGCGTTGATAAAACGATTAGGTTTGATCTTTGGCCCAGCATTCGGTCACTGTGACACTTGTACCTGTCAGCAGTTCAAGATAAGAAGTCCTTACCCTGCTTTGCCCCATTTAACAGAAAACCGCAAAACAACCAGGCTGAAAAAGTTGTGAACAGACTTGAGCTGTTCGCTTTTATTTTGAAATCAGCTCCTCTGATCTCAGTGAACTTTTGAGCTTGGTTATAAAAACCACGTTCTTGCTCGTGAATTTATTCAACTGCTCACTTTCTGCATTTTCTGCCAACAATGTCTTCAACAGTGCCGCAAACCTCCTTTCTGAAACTGAATAATCAAAACTTACAAAATAGAGTTAGTGTCTTATTCAACATGAAACCAAAATGAGCGACTGAGTCAATAAATTCACCAGCAAATTTGTCAGGGTTAAGGGACATTTTCCCATACACTCCAATCGAATACAGCCACAGTCAGACAGCCCTAAACACCATTTGGCAACCAGCAGCTTCAAGTGGTTGCAGGAGGTTGATGGCAGTTGCTGTGAAAATAGGAAAGCAAGCCTGCGACCCCGTGCAATCACCTGTCACTGGGAAAAGTGTATTCCCCCTGTTGGCAAAACCCTCATAGTTTCTTTGGTAGCTACTGCAGTCAGTTTGAATGGAAGTGAAAGACTTTTCTCCAAAAACTTCTTCTGAAATTTTTGGCTGCACAGCTGGAGCAAAACTTTTACTGTAAAAGACAAACCTCTTCCATTTCCAGTTTTTGTCATACCTTTTCAAGTTGTTCCGTTGCTCGGCTAGTAATTAACAAATGTTTGCAGACAAACATGAAAATCTACAAGCAACTGTTGCAATATGCAAGCAACCAAAGCAATTAGTAGGATATTTCTAGTGAAGAACCTTCTTACAATCGGATTTCACCCAGCGAGAGCCAGCAACCACAACCAACCAGTAGAGAAATACATTTCCCTAGCAACCAGTCGAAAGATCCCATTCGATATGGCACAAGGAGTACTGCGAGTACTGCTGGGCCCAATACTCACATATCCTAATATATTCCCCAGAAACAGCATCTACTTTTCTTCTTTTTTTTAAAAAAAAAAGAAAAAATTGGTTCAAAATACTTGCAGAAAAATTAAAAATGATATATTATTTCAACAATTTATATATGAAATTAATATGGAATTTCACATACATTTTAATTTTAAAATGTATGTGAAATTCCATAACATAAAGAACAGCAGGAAAAAGTAATTTTTACTAAGATATTTCATTAATCACCAACTTATGGATTTATGCATTTTAACATGTTTAGCGTCCAATAAGTTAAGAAACATCAGGAAACAAATTGCAGATCTTAGCAGTAATATTTTAGTCGCCTGACAGGTGAGATTTAGTTGGCTATATTCAGATATTGTTGCTGACTGGCTGAGCAGAGCCAGGCCAAGTCATAAACAGTCTAAGCCCTGAAAATGTCACATAAGACAGGTTGATGAATGTATATTTTTAATTGTGTAATCATACAAGAGAAAGTGAATGTTTGACAACTTAATGCTACTGGGATAATAATTTTCATTGTCAGAGTTAGGACAGTGTTTATCCACACTAAGTAACTGCAAACAGATTGCAATAAGTATATCTGAGATTAAAAAAAAAAAACAAAAACAAACAAAAACAAGGATGTATGAACAAAACAGGAAAAAACAAAACAAACAAACAAAAAACAAGCAAACAAACAAACAAACAAAAAAAGCAAGATAATGGTATGCTTCCTTTATCTTAGTTATTTATCATTATGACTCACTAACAGTGATTCAAACAGATGCAAGCTTAGACTTTACTAGATGCGACTTTGCATTAAAACCATAGGCATTATCACTGGTAACCAACTACTAAGTTAGCAAGTTTCTATTTAAGTTAGTTAATATCGTCTGTTTTAACAATTGCATTGCTATGCAAATAAATTTTTTTTAATAGGTCTATGCCTAAATAACAGCTAACTAGTTTAAAAAACTTATTGTCTGCTGGTTTCTTTTATTTATTTATATTTTATTTATTTATTTAACAAGCACAATAGTTACCCATTATAACAGTTGTGCCAGATGTATTGTGCCGAGACGAAGCGTGGACAATATATAGTTAGTATTAGCAGCGTTGAAGTGTGTCGTTGGTGGTGGGTTTAGCTCGGGCCGAGGGGCCCAAAGGCTGGCCCGTCTCTGCAGCAGATAACCATAGCAACGACCATAGCTAATTACATTGTTAAATTTAACCAAAAGGGAAGTCGTAAAAAAAACCTATGTAGTGACCAATACATGTAATATTCAGAGGGCTTTACTGGAGAGAAATAAAAGATTGATTCCTCTCCACCCCCTCAATTATCAGTTGGTCAGATTATATCGTATGCAATATAGTCGATTGCCTCAAGCAAAGATATGCAGATTGGACACTATACGTAATCCATTACCTCAGCGCTGGACTGAAACGTCACTCATATATTGACTTTTCGGCCGTTTTGTGCGGTTACCTTACCTGGTTAAGTTTTCTATCTCTGCAGGTATACTTTTCAATCTGTTTCCTCCGAGTGAAAGCGACTGCAAGCGCAGCAGTTTGGTACACTGAAGCGGGATCTCCTCGAATCGGTTCCCGCTAAAGTTCAGCACCTCCAGCTGCAGAGAGCCGAACTCCTTGGGCAGCGAGAACTCGTCCAAGCGGTTGTTCTTGGCTATAAGTGTTTTCAGCTTGGTCAGGCGCATAATGTCCTCACAGATGAACGAAAGTCCGTTGTTGCTAATGTCCAGAAACTCGAGGTTGAAGAACAGGGTGACCGACGACGGCAGCGAGCCTAGTCGGTTGTAGTTCAGGTAGAGTTGTTTGGTGTCTCTTTTCCTTCTGTCGGTGATACTGTCAACGCTCAGAGTGTTCAAACCCAAGCGTGAGAAGTCGAGCACGCCGTCGCCCACTGCCGCTGCCCGTTCGTGACTCTCCATTTTGGCAATTTTGTTTCCTTTTTTTCAACTCTGCAAAAGTTTCGCAGAGAACGTTTAACGTCAACGCGTGACTTAGCTCCACAAGTTGCCTATTTTTAACATAAAGCACGAGCATCTACCAGTAACATTTAACAGCATTTCTAATCACGTCTAAATGACTAATGTATTGCTTACAACAGGCTGAAATAAGCCACAATAGCTACACCGAACGCGGTGAGGCTCTTCTACTCGCAGCTGTTGGGATGGTCTGTGGCTTCCTGGTTCAGATTGGCTGATTCTCCATATAAATCCCGCCCACCCACGCGCCCATTGGGTTCGCTCCCGATCTGTCATATTACATAGGCATTGATTAAGGGAGTTGTAACTGGTTTTTGGAGTTTATTAACAGTTTCCTGGCACAAGTTGCCATGTGTAACCGCTGACTGCATTTTTTTTCTTGTTTTTGTGTTTTTTTTAAGTCTTACGAAAACGGGACAGTGGTGGCCGATGATCGATAAAATCAGCTACCCATTTTCTCTGCCCTTATGCAACACGCGTCCTCTGTTACGTTATGCAGTTCAATGCTGACTTGGGTGTGCATGGAATGAGAAATAGGTACAGGATAATTGGGTTCCTCCCACTGAGCTTATACAGCTTATTCACCGCGGTAAAGTGAGCGGTCACTTGTGAGCCGCGGTCAAGCCAGCTGCTTCTTCTCCGCCGCATAAATTTCCTTGCGCTTTTATACCAGTCTTTACGGTAGCGCCTTTTCGCTTTATATCCTGATTGAAAGCCTAGACCCGTGCACACGTGCGCGGGCGAACAGTCACACGCGCACGCGCGCACACAAATTACAATGGAACAGCCCAATACAGTCAATACAATTATGGAAATTTCAAAAATTCATTAAAATTCATCCTTAGTAGTTGAGGTCCAACTTTCAACACATTCCTTCTCTGGGACACCTACTGTACCTGTGCGCCAGGTTTCATCCAGATTTACTGTAAAATTCCTCAAAAATTAAAGGACAGTTATATGCAATTCAATACAGCCAATACACTACAATTATGGAAATTTCAAAAATTCATTAAAAATCATCCTTAGTAGTTGAGGTCCAACTTTCA